ATACATTATTGCGAGCACAAGATTTTCAGTGGTATCTATGTTTCACAGAAGACGGCAAACGCTCTGGACGTCCTCAGACTTCCGTCCCCCTGATTACATCGAAAATGTTTCTGCAGCGGTAAAGGCTTCAAACAATAGCAGAATCAGTGGATATATCCTCAGTCACATGTCAGTGGATACTGATTGATGATCTTAACATGCGTAGGGTGTATCAACATAACATTCAATGCATGTTAAACTAAAACCAATCTGCAGATGAAGATAAAAGTGCATCGCGCAAGGACAATTGACAAGGCTGAATTGAAGGACATGGCTAAGAAGGGATTCCAGAGATGTTTCGAAAACCTTTACAAGCCATGTCAAAAGGGCTTTGTTACTCAAGGGACTTATTTCAAAAAACGATGTTTGAGCAATTAAATTGGTAATATGTTTTAAGTTATAGACTCTCTCTCTCTCTCTCTCAGTTAGGGAACTTATGGATCCTATTACGTATATTAACGCAGCATGTGCAGTAAGCAACAAAATGACACAAAAATTCTCAAGAAAATAAAGTTTATAGCCGTTTAATGTCGAAAATATTTTTCGAAGTTACCATTTTCCTCTAAAGATAAGTGAAACATTTTTTTTATATTATTTATTAATTTTTTTCCTTTTTAAAAGTATTTGTTTTAAAAGATCTTATTAATTATATTCAGACAATATAAATGATTAATGAAACAAACGCAGAAAATGACGCTTTTCTAACTAGTTAAAATATTTAAAAAAAAAAAAAATAACTTTTTTTTTTTAATTTCAAACTTTCTTTTTCCCAACGAGCTTAGTAGTTATTTTTAGTTTTGATAAATTTCAATTTATTTCCAATAATTTTTAATGCATATTTTACGCACAATCTTCCGAATTATCCATTATTTACTAATGCGTTTCTACGTTGCTTTACATTTCCTTTGTTATTTAATTTTTGGAGCATTCGTGACTGCAATATTCTGAAAAAATTTAGGAACTACAGTTTAAGAAAAGCTTTGTATTATAAATGTGTTGTTAGAATAGTTAAGACCAATTTTTAAAAAGTGCTTTCAATAAGTACTAGTTTTGATGATTCATCAACAAGATGATATGCATACATTAATCAAACTATCTTAATAATTTTCTTTGAAACTAATCATTCATCAGGTTTCTAGAATCAAAAATTTTCGGCTGGGTGGCGTGGTTGGTTTGTCGCTGTCTTCGCACCTCCTAAGGTCACGGGTTCTACGCTGGCCCAAGTTGGAATATTTTCATGATGCAGAAAATGACAGCTACCAGTTCGTATGATTAAAAGCATATAAATGATCCTTAGAGTGTCATCAGAGTTCAGGTGCCTTCCTCTGGGAAGGAAACTAGGCGTCAAAATTTCTTACGACAGTTAGTAGCTCCTAAATGGTGCCACACTAAGAAGTTGTACCAGCTCCTGGGGAATGTTCTATGTCTGCAATGGTAAAAATGTCAATCCGCGGCCCCATTGGATAAAAAAAATCAAATAAAAATTAATGCTTAATACTCATTTAATACTTAATACGTTTTGCTTTTACATGCATTTTGCGTAAGAAACACAAGAAAAAAATTGTTTTTCTGTCTATTTATTGGTTGTCTGTTTAAAAAAACAATCTGATTAGGTAAAAAACATGTCAGTGATATTGAAAATAAATCGCAGTCTTAAAATAGGCATATTCTAAGAAAAAGAAAGTAATGTGTGTTATTCATTATGTATGCTATTTATATGTTGTATACTATTTTTATTTTTTTTTTACATAGAGAGGCTTCTTATGAAAAGTATTTAATATATATACAATATTCTATAACTCAATTAGTTCGGAGATTATTTTAGCTATTTCTATTTTTTTTTTATTCTTCATTTTTTTCAACTTATACAAAATTTAGCTTCAGAAAGAGCTTACATTTGTTTCAAAATATGTGCGAAGAGAAATATTTCTGCAAATAAATTAAGAGAAACCAATTTTCCTAAGTTACAGACATGAAAAATAAGAAATCGCGTAACTTTTTTAAATGGGTTGTACAAAATGACAGACCTCAAACTAGTGTTTAGCTCAAATGTTTCAAAGAAATATGTGTTGGTAGAAGAAATAACTTTTTCTTCTGTTTCTAAATAACATCTTCACGCTTCACGTATGTCTTAATAAATTATTTTGTTAGAAAAAAAAATGTGATGCTTTGATTTTTTCCTTCAAAGTAACAATTGAAACAATGACACTGTTTATCAATTATTGCTAAATAAAATATTTTTACAAAACACTTTTGCTTGGAAAAAACGTCATTGGTTTTCTCATACTATAACTATATCAGTGATCTCCAACGGTTAGAACTTTTAATGGACCACTATAAATAAATAATTTTATATTTAGTAGGCCACTAGCATGAGTTTACAAAAAAGAAAAGTAAATAGACTTTTCGTAATAATCAGAAACTTTTATTTTATTAAGGGGGATTACATCAATTATGAGGGTAACGATGCTTTAAACTCAAGTTTCATGCCACCAGTTTCCTTTTAATTTCAAATGTGTCACTGTATATAGATACATCTTCAAAAGTACCTAAAAAGTCACTATCCCAGCATTTTTTGTAAACTGGGGGCCCCTTTCCGTAAAAGGTTTTAGTGATAATCCTTCGTGAGCGTAAGCATATTGAAAAGTCAAAAATAAATTATTATTTTTAAAAAATGTTAATATACTGAAAGGGAAGAAAACAAAGTATATTCCCGGGCATCAATAAAATGTCTTACCTATTACTTAAAAAAGTTACTTAAAGTATTTATTACTTAAAAGTAACATATACAAAATTAAATATATATATATATATATATATATATATATATATATATATATATATATATATATATATATATATATATATATATCCATTACTAGAACGGTTTATAATTAAGGTCATAATGTAGCTTCAGCATGAAAGTACATTATTATTACATTCAATGCAGTGTCATTGTATGGGTAGGGGTGAGATGAAAATTATGATTGAAAATTGGGTCGCCAGTATTGAAAATTTGTGAAGTACTGTAATATACTAATGATTAAAAATGTGGTCCTATTTTATCCCAAAAGGGAAAACAGACGCCCGAAGGTCCATGTCACCAGAATCAAAGTGAGGGTTTTGAGGTTAAATAGGGGGAGGGGTATGATAGTTGCTCTCATTTAAGCACGGTATTGACTTTAACTTTGGTTTTCAATAAAGGGAAGAATCCACATACACAAATATTACCTATTTACTTACATAACATTTTATCATAATATAAAAACACATATCTATCTTGACAGTAATTAAATGTATCTATTGGTTAATGTGAGGCTAAATGAATGTAGAAACCAGTCGAAGGTAAAAAAGAGAACTAATCCGAAGAATCTATTTTAATGATTTAAATTTCAAAAGCAAAAACATTAAATGAATGATCAACCGACCCTTGTAATGCAGAGTTTCGTGCAAATATACTCAAAATAATAGAGAGGCAAAGATTTCCAACATTTCCTTCATTTTAGAAACTGTCATTCTTCTGTCCGAAAATCAGACAAAAATTAATTCTGAAATCGGACAGATTCAATATTTCATCAGGATTATTAGTGCGCCTTTCACAAAATAAATGTAACTTTCGTTTTCTTTTTTTTATTTCTAAATTGAATCTATGAATCAACCTATTACCCAGTGGAATGAGATTTCAGTGCAGTTCCCAATCTCCTAAAAAAAGAAAAAAAAAAGAAATAGACTGGGCATTACTAAACGAGGAGATTTAAGAATATAACTAACATAAAATTTAAAACCTTAATTTGAAACATTTGTTATTAGGGTATCAATTTCATCACTTTTATTAAAGAATTTGTGGATTGCTTAGTTATTTTACTAAGATAATAAATCTCGATCTAATATATTAAATGATTCAAATTTGATAATTTTAGAAATTTTATGTATTTTATATTTTTACTCGAATCTAAGCAACAGTTTTTTTGCAATGCTAATGGTAGAGAAAATCGCATACCGCTTGGAATGAAAGTCGGGAAAATTCATTAGATGGGAGAAAGTAAACTTGATGCTAACTCTCTTAGAGCAATTACAGTTCAAAATATGTATTCAAAAAAGTCTTTAACTCAGCTAAAATAAATTAATTATTCACATCTTAATAGTTCTAATTTTGATTCTTTTTTTAAATTTCATAAATACAGGTTATTAATATAAATTTTTACCCTATTTTTAATTTTTTCATAAAAACATGCAGAGAAAATATAGTGCGGTAAGAATCGAAGGAGGCTTAGATTCAAATAAATATAGTAACTTATAAACGTTAAAAAATACCATGTGATTTATAAGTTTTACAAGCTAATTTTCTCTCTCATCATAGTTATAAATTTAAGTCAAATAAAATAAGTAGCACTATACCACATTTATCAAAAACACGTTTGAAGCTGATTAAGTTATAAAAATTCTACATTAGGTAAGTAGGAATGTACTAAAAACCGTAAAACGTGGCAAAGGTTCTGTAAGACAAAAAAAGTTTCAGAACCTCTGTTCTAAACTCAGTAGAAATTTCTCTTAAAATGGTAATTATTTCTTTTTACAAGCTTTTATTTAACTTGCAATGTAAAATGTTCGGGTGGAATCTTGCAACTCAATTTTGAAGCTGATGTCTTCAACGGATTGAGCTGAAATTTTGTATACACGTTTAGTTTCGATGGCAATGCATGTTTTGCTCATTTATAATTTGATATCGGAATTAGTTAAAAATATATTAATTAAAGTAATTTGTTCAGGTGAAATCTCTCTCTTGCAACTCAATTTTGAAGCTGATGTTTTTAACCGATTGAGCTGAACTTTTGTAAACACGTTTAGTTTGAATGACAATGCATGTTTTGATGATTTATATTCCGATATCGACCTTGTTAATGTAAATATCTTATTCAGGTGTTAAGACGAGCATGTCAACAATAACAAAAGTGTGGGTAGGTGGCGTAGCTCAGATGGTAGAGTGCTCGCTTAGTATGCAAGAGGTACAGGGAACGATACCCCACGCCTCCAATTATTATTTTTTCGTGTAAAAATTTTTTGAAATTCGTTTGATTTGTGTACTACGGGATATTTTACAATACTTCCACTCAGCATACGGACAAAGTATGCTGTATTTTTACAAGCTTTTGTTTAACTTGCAATGTAAAATGTTCGGGTGGAATCTTGCAATTCAATTTTGAAACTGATGTCTTCGACCGATTGAGCTGAAATTTCGTATACACGTTTAGTTTGAATGTCAATGCCTGTTTTTACCATTTACATTCTGATATCGCAATTAAATAAAAGATATTCATTAAAGTCATTTCTTCAGGTGGAATCTTGCAACTCAATTTTGAAGCTGACGTCTTCAACCGATAGAGAAATTTTGTATATACGTTTAGTTTGGATGACAATGCATGTTTTGACCATTTATATTCCAATATCGCAATTAGTTAAAATATTAGTGGCCTGGCCCGGCGTTACACGGTCATTCTCTACTTTTATAAATTTTCCCTTTCCATCAAAAAATCAGCATTCATAATATTTATTTTCGAAATGACTCCCACCCCTCAACCTCCTCCGCTTAGCCCAGCGTTGCTTGAGCTTTTACCGAGTGTATAAGTTAAAATTCCCTGTTTCAAAATTTTTTCACTTCTTTCCTTTGTCAGACAGGTTTATAACCCTCCTGGAGTTGCACGAACATTTTTATATGTATAACATATTGTCTTGGAAATTACCCTCCCCTCTCGCTAACAGAGCTCTTGAGTAAGTGACCATTCACCGATTCTTCTGCAGCTTGACACTTTCAGCCATATAGTGGTACGAAAATTAATGAATTATTGCTCAAATGAAATTCATAAAAAAAGTTTTCGACATTTTATTTTTCAAATCACTAACTGTAAAAGATCAATGTATGCGTTTCTTGAAAATCATTCTCATATAAACGCATCAATATTGCTTTATTTTAGAAAAAAATAATAAAATATGTAAAGTATTGTTGTTTTGCAAAAAAAAAAACATATTGTATCGTGATGAAATAAACTATCTTACCAATTACAAAATTTCTGGCGAAGTTATTAGATGCGCGAATAAAATTTTGAGCATTATTTTCAAAAAAATCATAAAATCTAAGCGATGATGTTATTTCGAACCCGATTATAAAAGTTACTAATCCAGCGCTCTGAGCGACCAATCCACGAAATCTTCGGAACAAAATAAATAAAAGACCGTTGAAATAAAAGGAAGAGATATTTAGTTTCGAATTGCGTTATTTGTTAAAGTTTAAATTTTTTTCGGCCTTCAAACTTCATATATCGATTACAAACAACGATAATTTTTAAACAAAAAATGTAACAAAAATAATGCTTAAATATTTTTCGAAAAAAGGGGAAAAAACGAAACCATGATTTTTTTAAAGCGTAATTTTTATATATAAGCAATTTTTTCAATCTTTGTACAGATTACAGATAATAGTGTTTTACACACGGAAAAAATGTTTCATGAGATTATTTCTAAAAATATAGAACTTACTAAGTATTTAAAAACATTTGAGTATTTTTTATATAAAAAGGTTTTGACATTTTACTTTTAAAATAATTGACTCTAAAAGAGAAAAGCACAAATTTTATTAGTGAAGAATATCATTTCATTATCGTGAAAGAAAATGCAATTGGAACGATTTAGAAATCGTTTTCATAAAAACGTACCTCTTTTGACTAATTTTAGAAAAAAATCGTAAAAAATAGAAAATATATTATTTTGTAAAATGAATTATACCCTATCGTGGAGAAGTAAATGATCTTCCCGAATCTGTAATTATTTTTGTCTGAGTGTCATAAAAAAATTAGACCGTGTTTTAAAAACATCTGGGATAGAAAAAGGTCGGAAAATTGGAACTTCGCCACCTGGCAGGAAAAATGGCAATATTTATGCGTTTTAAGGTTTTTAATTAATATCTTTTTGACTAATTGCACTTTTGGAATATAAATGGATTGCTTGAATCATTCCGAATCTTTTGGTATTGTCACCGAGTTTTGCGTCGTGCGGTTCGTGAGAAGATACACTTAGTCTTATAGTCTCATACGTTCGTACCCCTCAGGGCTCACCTCCTTTAGGTGAGTTCGGTTTCACGCTCCCAGGTAACCTCAGTGATCTTTTCTTCCTAAGGGGTTTACTGTCTTTTGGTAAAACATGGGCTTCACGAACCCAGGGTACTAGTGATCCTTTCTATTTTCGGCCCTTCTTCTTGCCATTCAAATTTCCCTTTTCTTCTTTTCCCGTCTAGACCACAGACCAATCTTGCAAAATGAACTTTGTTCAAATTTTGTTTTTTCTGATGAAAAAACTTACGTTTTACTACTAACATATTATGGTTTACATTTTGTATTGCGTTAATTTAGCTTTTCGTATATTTCTTTAAATACTTTGATTATGTTATTTTATTTTTTTTCGACTAACAACGTTGGTTTTCCGCCCCGAATGTTTGCCGTGTGCGGCGCCCCGAAAGGAGGAAAATGGTGCGGGGACCCTTTTGGGTTTCCTTTTGCCCACGCCTGGGGGGAGGGGTCCTAGGATCCCGGCCCCTTTTTTCCCTTAGGGGGGGGGATACCCGTTTGTCAATCGGCTGGTAGACCTTTTCGACCCCGGAGACACTTTTTGGGGGTTGTGCTGCAGAAAAGGGTCTTTTACCCTTTTTATCCCCCCCTGGACTGTAGCATTATATTCTGGTTTCCCGGGGAAGCCCCGGGCCTGGTTTTGGCCAGATGCCCCAACTGCCTCCCTTTTTGGGACCCGTGGGGGGGTGGAAGCACGCCAGGATAAATTGTATACTCGTATTTATGGATCTAATGCAGCTGTCCCCGGGAAAAGGGCCCTTTAAATTTTCCCCAACCTTAACATCAACGAAATTGTAGAAACTCACGTTTTTTAATTTTTTTTCCCTTCCAAACAATGATATGATAAAAAAGCCCATTTCTATTCACAAAGCACTAATTGAATAGGTGGCGAACCTAAATCGGAAAACGTTTCCCGGGGGTTTTAATAAAAAACCCCTTGCTCCCCCAAAAAAAGTTTTTTACAGCCAAACCTTTTCTTGATTATCCTGAACAATAAGTCCTCACAAGTCATTAATACTTCCGAGTTCATTTCAACCTGACTTGTTGAGACCCTGAAACGGAAACCCTTTTAGGGGCTTATGGGTGATTCAGGTCAGAAGAATTACTAAAAAAAAAGAAAATACAATAAGTCCTACAAAACATTTAATACTATCTTTTAAATAGCCCCAAATTTCCGTCTCAATAAAAGCAGGTTACTTAAACTGTGTTGCCCTACATACCGAACCCTCTGCGCTGTTTTAAGTCCCGAGGTTCGACACTTAAACTTCCCCGGGTCAATTAACTTTTCCCAAATTTTGCATCCTTTGGGAACCCCAATTGTACTCGGGAAACCCAAAAAAGGAAATTCCCCCCAGCCCCACATCGACTCAAAATTATCCCTAAAAATGGAAAACAGAAAAGAAACCCAAGCAATTAAAACAAATAGAAATATTTCATATGGGGCACGAAAAAAGCCCCACAGTTGCCCAAACATACGCACAAGCTGTAAAACCCCTCATCTGTAACCACAACAACCCAAACTGATGAAAATATTTCGAAAATAGTATTGCCTTTTAAAAATACTAACCCCGGTCCATTCCCAAAACTAACAAGTCTTCCCAAAAATTCCCGTAGTTAACAAATCATCAACCCAACTCAAGCAAACCTCTTACCCCCATTTTTGTCACAGTTACATCGTCATCAGAATTTTAACATCTGTTCCTTTAAAAGACACTACGCCCACCACATCTAATAGTTTATCTACATCTACTGCATTTTTTTTCATCTAATAAAGCATTTTTTACCATATATCAATGTTAACCCCCTTTCCAGCTGAAAATGTCCTGCTGTTGAAACTGAAACCCTATATCCAATACCATACCTTCTACATCCCAGGATGTAAAAAAACTTCAAAACCCGCAAGAAAAGACGTCCTAAAAAAAGTGTTACCTCCAAAAAAACATACAATTGACGCCTCACAAACCAAAAAGCACACCCAGGATCATCAGACGAGGACATGTTTTATACGATTTTTAAAAGGGGGGGAATCACCGACTCTTAACCCGGGCAAATTCACCCGGGTGAATACGTCCGGGGAAAAATTACCCCGGGTTTAAAGGAAAAATATACCAGTGTTATAACCCCCCCTTGTTATAAAACATAAAAGGATTTTATTATTTGACACCATAACTTTTTATATATATAGAAAAACCCTATCGCTTTTTTAAACCCTTTGTCTAGTTCTTTAAATTTTTTTAAATTTTTTTTAAAATATTCCATTTCCTCACTACGATTGATCTGTTTTAAATTTATTTGAATTGGTGGGATAAACCCCAAAAATTAAAAAGTTTTTTTTCTCATGAAAATAAAATTAATATTTTATAATATTTTACCTTATATTTATTACTGTGTTTTAAATATTATAATACGTTTTAAAATTTTTTAAAATTGTTTGGCGATATAGCCAGAACTGGTTTTTCGCCAGAAAACCTCAAACTCAAACTCATATGTTCGTTTACCTTAGAATTTTAATAGTGTAGGTATTAATTAAAGTAATTTTTTGGGTGGAATCTTTCAAAAGATATAATCCTCTTTAAAAAAAGATATTTTCTTTTTCAATTTTTTTTAACATGAATCAAAAAAAGATGCTTTTTATGAAAAAGATTTTTTAAACCCGGGAAAGATTTTTTTTTTTGGTTATATTGAATCGATATGCTGCACAAGAAAGTTCAGGCTTTTTTTTTTTTAGAATCGGGCATTTAAAAATAAAATTACTAAAAAAATTTTTAACGATTTTTTAAAAATACTAAATTTTTTTAAAACATTTAAAAAAATTTTATTTTTAAATATAATCGCAAGAAAAAAAAATTTTGTTTGTGAAAAATATCAGCCAAATTCTGCCAAAAATTGAAAAAAAAATTTGGGTTTAAAAAATTT